ACGAAAATGTTTTTCGTCGAAATTTTTGATGAATAAGTTTTTTTGTGAAATATTTTGACGAAATTTAGATTCCGTAAAAAAATTTGACAAAATTTTTTTTCCGTCAAACTTTTTTACAGAAATCTTTTTAGTCACAAATTTTGATGAAAATATTTTTCGTCAAAAATTTATCGAAAAATTTTGTTGGAAATATTTTGTGAAATTTTTTTTGACGTAATTGTTTTACCTTACAACTTTTCTTTTAATGTAATTGTGATTTTGTTTTCTTTTTTTTTTCACATAATGGGTATGGGTAAAGTTTTGGGTCAATGGGTTATTATTAAAACAAGTCAGGTCTAAAATTTACCCAAATAAAATGGGTCAGTATTTAAACCCAGTTCAAAAAAATAGGTATTTATGGGTCAGGTCAAGGTCAGATCAAGGGCAGGGCAAGTGAACTAGTTTTCTTGCACACCCCTACATCAGAGTATGGAAGAAAAATAATTGAGAGAGAAAATAAAAGGGAGCCGAATCTCGTGATACAATTTCATACTTGCTTGAAACAATTACATGCCATTTAGATATTATGCATATTGTAATTATTATAATAAAAATTTGATTTAAAGAAAGTTTTAAATGCATTAAAAGATAAAAGAATATAAACAAGAAAAGAAAACTTCAACTTAACATAAAAAAAGAGAGTCTACTAAGCTATTATATTGGAACGATTATAAAAGCATTCTTTGATTCTTCATTCCTTGTGTTTATTTGCCCAAGAGTAAGTCCGCCATAATAAGTTGTTAATGTAAGAAAATTTCAAAATAGGATTATATGATTTTAGAACACCAAAAGAGTTTAGGCTTACTTGTTGACGACATGATTCTTCTTGATGTCTCAATTGCAGTGCTTGCTATGGTATTCCTTCAAAGATTGAAGGACCATGATCTTCCTCTGCAATTCACACCACTCCATGTTTACAATTGTTGATAGGGCGATTTGTGGAGTGATATTTTTTCAACACAATGTGAATACAGAGAGGACCTAGCCAAACTTATTAACCCGAGTTCCCTTCCCATCATGGGCCTATGAGTTAGGCCTACACTGTTACCCACACTAATTAATTTATAGATATCCAAGCCAAAATAAAAGGATCATTTAATTAAATGGACTTTATACTACACCCCCATATGGATCATGACTTAACTCATTTTAATAAAAACAAGAAAAACTTCAATTCATTGAAGCCCATAATGATTCTAAATAATTCTAACATTCTCCCACTTAGGAAAAATCAATTGTAAAATTTTAATTAAAAAAAAAAAGAAAACAAGTTATTTGAAAATGACTCTCGGGTTAAAGACTAATTTTTATAATGTGGCCACATTTTAAGAAAACACGTGATCCAAGGTGCGATATCTGAATATGACTCCATCCAACTAAAGTCAAATAACATTGAATCAGGCGATGATTATATCCTTGCCGATAGAAGACCTTCCATGGTCACAAATGTTACTTGACTCTGTCGATTACTCATTAAAGTGTAGAAAGAAAATAGCATGCCAATGTGATCCAACAACAGCCAAACTACTATTTTCTCTATCAATTCACAAATTTCTCTCAAATGACTTAAAGCCAGAGAAATTCCATGGTATATCAAAAAAACCATCATATAATCAAAATTGGTGTCGACCACGGGCCCTGTAGTCCTAACAACACCACTATATCTCAAACTCCATATAGTGTCAACCATAGATATGATGGTTCCAACGACACTGAGTTCCAAAATTATGCCTCAAACTTCAACATAGTGGTCCTAACAACACTGAGTTCCAAAATCTTATTATCATGCCTCAAACTCCAATATAGTGTCAACCACAGGTACAGTGGTCCCAACGACAATGAGTTCTAAAATCTTGCAATTGATATGTAGAAACACATATACTCAAACATATAATAACAAAAATAATATATTACGAGTTGCTCACAATGAAAGTACATGTCAACCAAACACCAGTAATATACTAAATGAAAAAATTGAGAATTCAAACTCCCACTAATTAAGTATATCAAAGGAACCCACAATGCCCATGTTTTTAAAATACATTTAAACACCTTGAGCCTAAGTCCTTTAGTTAGAGGTTCAGTGATAAGTGTCCAAGACACTATGTTTTTATGGTAAAAAAGAGTTCAAATAATTATTAAAATAGTTAAAAATATAGTGTTAAAATAATAAAATAGTAAAACAGAATGAATTGCCAACAACTAGATAAGATTCTAAATGTTTGTTGTTGTTTCAGGTTGTTTAGACTATAATAACAAAGTACCAACATGATAAGGATGAAGCAACGGTTGAATCCGCGGAGTATAAAGAAAATCAGAAATTAAATAAATAATAAATATAAAAATGTAACGCTCGCTCCACTGCTCGCTGAAGCGAGCAAGTGAGCGAGCAAATTATTGAAGCTCGCTAAACTCCTCGCTCAAGCGAGTGAGTAAGCGACAGGCAAAAAAATGCTCGCTGAAAAGCTCGCTTCAGCGAGCGGGTCCAGAAATTAGAAGCCCAAATTTCACCCTTTAAATACGACGCAAAGGAAGCTGTGAAAATTAATTCTGGAACGCGAAAGAAGTCAGAGACAAACACGAAGGCAAGAGCGGAAGAGGAACGCTGGAGCGATGCAGAGGAGAAGGGAGGAATCCAAACTGCATCATTGATAGTCTTACTTAATCAAGTTTCATCATGAACTTTATTTATTTTCCAGTTTATTTTAATTCTGTCTTTATGATTATGTCAGGCTAAATTACTGTTAGTAGTTAGGATGAGACAGAACCAATGGGTTCTTAGTTGATGTTTATTTATTTCTTATGAATTACATTCTTGCTTTTGAATTATGCAATTAATCTGATATCTAGGATTAGTCTTATTTATGATCTGGCCAGTCTTGAATGAGCATTAGAGTCGTGCATGACAATAGGGATGTTGGTGTATGATTCCGATTGATTGATTGCTGGAATTTGTATGATCTAGGGATAGACTTATGAATTCTATAACCGTAGGTTCTTGCGTTAATGCTTATTTTATGAAAAAGTACTAAGGGATTAGGCTTTGGATTAGAATAAAGGATTAGATTACCAAGGGATTGGGATTTAGTCAATCATAGAAAGAGCTGTTAATAATTTGATCTTGAATCCTAGCTACGCCTTTTTATTAAAAACTTAAACCAAATTTCTAGTTTATAAATTCAGAAATTATTTTCTAAAATATTAAAAACTAAAAATAGTTTACAAATTCTGCTTTTAATTTAATCACAACATTCTCAAGAAATCCTTTACGATCGATCCAACTTTAGTTGAATAGATAAATTATTGCTTGGTCATCAGTCCTCGTGGGATCGACAACTTTTCTTATCACTTTATTACTTGTACGACCGATGCACTTGTCGAGTTCGTCAACAAGTTTTTGGCACCGTTGTCGGGGACTGATTTAATCAACATTGATTATATCTATAAAATTATAGATTGGATCATTTTTTTATTTTGTTTTTGTTTTATTTTTGTTAGTTTTTGGTTTCTTTTTTTATTTTTTATTTTATTTTTATTTTTGTTTCTCTTATTTTTATTTTGCGTATTTTATTTTATTTTAGTTTTTATTTTTATTTTTACAGTCATTTATTTTGCTTTGTTAGTTTAATATTTTTATTGTTTTTTATTTTATTTAGTTTTGTTATTTTATTTTCTTTGTTTAATTTGTTTGCTTTAAATTTTAAATTTTCTGTTAGTTAGTGGTTTCTGTTAGTTGGACCCACTGAGCCTTAGTTTTTCTGGTTTATGCATCTGCGAGGCAATGTTAATCCCAGTGGCCTACAGTACGAACCAGAGTTAGGACGTTTAGAAACAACTAATAGGAAAGGTTTGACCGCGAAGAAGACACAAGACGCATCGAGCTCCAATTCTGCGGAAGAACCAGTCATGGCTGAGGAAAATCAAAATCCACCTGAAGAACTGATGAGTCACTTCTTAAACCCTAATTTTTTGCATCCGACTGCGAGTATTGGAAGACCTCAAATCCCAGCCAATAATTTCGAAATAAAAGCCTTCTTCCTGAATTTAATTCAAAGTAATCTATTTGAAGGAGACCCGATCGAAGACCCAAATCGCCACATCACTAAATTTCTACAATTATGTAGTCTCATTAAAGCTAATGGGGTTCCTCCTGAAAAAATTTGTTTGATGTTTTTTCCCTTTTCTTTAAAAGGGAGAGCACTTATTGGCTGGAATTGCAACCTGCGAATAACATCTCCATGTGGGAAGAAATAGTTGAAAAGTTTCAAAAGAAGTTTTTCTCACTTTCCCGATTTTCTGAGCTGAAAGAACAGATTGACAACTTCAAGCAGCTTGAAGGCGAATCCCTGTGTGTGGGATAGGGAAGATTTAAAGAATTAATCAAGAGATGTTCGCAGTATGTTTTATCGAATGGCGAGAAGGCCCGAATCTTTTACAAATGAGTTACGTCAACATATAGAGTACTCCTTAATGCTGCAGTTGGAGGAAGCATCAGAGAAGTTACTCCAACTAGAGTTGTTGAGCTAATTGAGAAGATGGCATCTGAAGATAACGAGGTCACACCAATTCAACCTAAGAGAGGAGTTATGCAGTTAGAAGGGTACGACGCTTTGTTAGCCAAACAAGACAAGATGGATCAAAGGCTAGATTCACTTGTTAAGCTCTTTACCCAAAATCAAATCTCTGCAGTTAATTCTCAATTTCCTGTAGTCTGTGACACTTGTGGCAGACCTCATAGTGCTGATAAATGTGAAGCTATGGTTACTATAAACCCAGCTCAGGTGAATTCTCTTTGGTACGACCAACGTAGGGAGAACAATCCTTATAGCAACACTTATAATCCTGGCTGAAGGAACCATTCTGCACTGTCATATAATCAAGGAGCACCACAACAAGCTAATCTGGGAATTCAAACAGCACAATCTAGTTAGAAAGCAGCTTGGGAAGTTGCATTCGAGAAAATGGCTCAATCTCAAGCAAATTTCACAGAAGAAACGAGAGCATATTTAAAGAATCAAGAAGCTTCCATAAAGAATCTGGAAATTCAGATTCGTCAGCTTGCCAAACAGATGGCTGAGAGGTCTCCAGGAACCTTTCCTAGTAATACAATTATTAATCCCAAGGAACAATGTAATGCCATCATTACAAAGTAAAGTGTGGAAATACCAATAGCTGCACCCAGTAGTGAAAAAGATGCAGAGAAGGAAAATCCTGCTGAAGAGAAAGCTGACAATCCTTTCGATAGAGATGTCACAATATTTGGAGGGTCGTTAACTGATACCTCACATAAGAAAGTAATAAAGAAGCTTTCTTTAGAGGAAATGATGAAATCACTTGGTGACAATCCTTATGTTAAGGCTCCTTATCCTCAAAGGTTACAGCAGCACGAGCAGAAGAAAGATTTCTCTAAATTTTTAGAGATTTTTAAGAAGCTTCACATCAATATCCCAATCGCAAAAGATTTAGAGCAAATGCCATCATATGCTAAGTTTCTAAAAGAGATCCTAACCAAGAAGCGGAAGCTCACAGTAGAAGGATCTACTATTTTGACAGATGAGTGTAGTGCAATCATGCAGAAGAATTTACATACGAAATTAAAGAATCCAGGGAGTTTTAGTATTCCTTGCACGATTGGCTCAATGACAATAGAGAGAGTTTAATGTGATTTAGGTGCCAGCATCAACGTAATGCCATTATCTATGATGAAGAATGTAACACCCCGTGTATACCTGTTTTGTTAATATGCCATCGTATTAAGCCACGCTTAATTTAAATATGCGGAATAACTTTTTACTTTTCAATTATGACGTCATTATACTTAGCCAAGTTGATTACTTAATCATTTTCATAAAAACATCGCCTGTATAAAAATTGCAAAAGACAGCTAACTGAATTACCTCATAAATAAATAAGTGTGTATCTAAGTCACGGATCTACAACACGTAGTCCGGACAATATGCTGATACATTATTAATTACAACACGAATCTAAAACAAGACATGGTCAATCAACGTGGCATGGACAATCTCCATGCTCACCAAATAAGGCAACAAAGCCCAACAAGTCTCAACAATAACAACATAATGAAAAAGATAACAAGTCAGCATCCAGCATATAATCATAACAGCAGACATCTAACTCAGCTCCGGCCTCCTCCGCTCTAAACAGAAATCTCAGTAAGACAAGGGGTCCTTAAGTGTAACAGCCCGTCTCATCCTTCGAGTTACCTGAACAGATCTCTAAACAGAAATCTCACTAAGACAAGGGGTCCTTAAGTGTAACCAATTTCCAACTTTACGTTTTTTACCAGCATTTAAAACATAAAAAGGCGTAATAATTAAAAGCATGTTTCACTCTATTATAAGTTACTAAGTTTTAAACTCACTTAGCCAATTTCCAACTTTACGTTTTTTACCAATTCGAACATGTTTCACTCTAAGTTTTTCTGAGACCAAACCGATCGCAACTAACCCTTCTTCTCAGATTATATCTTTGTGTTACTTAATTCCCTTTTTAACAAGCTAACATACGCTCAATTCGGAGCTCATTTGCTCCGGTTATCGCCGTTTGAAGTTGGATAAGCAATTAGCCCAAACAACCCCAAAAACAGCTCCAAACCACTCACATTGCTCGAATTACTGCACTCAATCGACTCAACCATTTGCTCTCAAATTTTTATCCTACAAACTAGACATCTAAAACTTCATTTTGATATATCACACGCTTAATTTGGCGGAGAAACGAAGCAAAAATTAATTTCCCAAATCCGGTCCAGAATCTGCCTCAGGTGCAGGGGCACATGGGCAGTCCGTGTTTCTCTATTTTTTTCAGGCCGAAGATCAACCCAGAATTTCCTCAAATTTTGACACAAGGTAGAGGACATCTCAACCTTCAAAATGGCGTATGGCACGTCCCTAGGGGACCTCTATGGAGGGATATATACTCTCCCGAAGTTTGCCTAAAATCTGCCAATTTTACAGAAAATTCGCCAGAGTTTCCTTTGTTTTTCCAATAATCCCAAATTTGTAAAAGATCATTTAAACCTCAAATGTACCTAATAAACACATGATAATACAGTAATAATCCAATGGGTGGCACACACAAGGACCAACAACGCCTTGGGGCACTTACAACCCAATCCAGTTTATAGTTATTAAACATAGAGTCCATATTAATCATTCTTAAGTAGTTGCAATCACTAACACCTTTTTCATGCATATTTCCATCATACATATTATCATAACCTAAAATAGGCCTAAGGCCCTTCCATCATAATTAGACATGCATCAATACTATTACAATATGGCTTTACAAATTACAACTTGAAACTAAAACTTCAAATTACATTCTTCTAAAATTTCAACTTAATTTAAAAGACAACATAACCAAATACATCACTACTAGACTTAGGCAAAATGGCATGAACAAGATGCTAATGAAGCTACTAATAAATACAAATGACATGTTCATGCCCTAAGTCTAGCCTAGGCCACACGGCCAACAAAATGCAAAATAAGAAACGCTCCATCGCTCACTCTGCGGGCCTCTTGCCCGAGGCTCCTGCTCCACTGCTACCTCCTGAAATAAATGCCCCGAGACGGGGTGAGATATACGAATATATCTCAGTAACCAAGAGGTTCTGGAGAAAACTCCACCCAATGGTTCACTTCGATGCATATCAATAGAATACAACAACCACTTTGAAAACGGGATATAGCAAGGGATTTAGAGAATGGGGAATATAAAGAAAACAAAATACGACGATACGGGATGGTAACCCCAATTCCACGTACGCCCTTGGCATATATAAGCCTATGGGTATCATCCAAGGTGTGTTCACAGAAACCACAACCATGATGCCCAAACCAACCAAAACGCCAAAGACATTCCTAGTGTGCTCCTACCCGGATCACACACCATGACACGCAGTCAACTGGAACTCCCTCCTGGAGACCTATCCAGCGGAAGTCCGAAAATGCCCGAAGGCTAATAAAACTGTCTACTGGCCAGAGACTCGGTACATAAGTACCCATAGCAATAATACATGCATGCTCATGTGTTATATACTATTCATACACACTTCCTACCGTTACCATCAACTGGCAAGGTGGAACAGAAAAGGGGAACAAGCCCCAGTACCAAGAGGTTACCTTAATTCGTGTTTCCACAAGCTCCGCAGCAGCTTATCCCTCAACTCGGTACACAGCGGAATGCCTACACAGAGGACATTCCCAATCACTCTCAGTTCAACCCATACATGTTAATTTATAATTACACATGCAATGAACCAATTTCTTACCTCAATCCACTTGGTCCCGGACCAAGGGCAATTCACTGATTCAAGATTCGGGATTCAGGTCGACGTACGGCAACCTATACAATAATGTACATCCATCAGTACTCGTCAAATAGTATCAAAACACAAAAACACAAAAATCCTCCCCAACCTCCCTTGATGGTTCGGCCATTGTAGTGTAAATGTGAGATTTATTTTTCTAAATTTTATTTCTCATTTTATAACACTCCCTTAGGTTGTTTAGAGGCTAGTTCAATCGTCGTTTTTCCGTTTTCCGACATTTACGCATCGTTTTGCGAAATATTTCATTCTGGGCTCATTTAGGTCTCTAACACAATTCATTTTTTTCCATTGATTCAAACACTCTCCAAGCACAACACAACCCATCTAAGCACCATATAACTACACAAATCATCATCCAAATCATTTTTCAACATCAATTCCTCAATCTTTCCTCAAAGAATCGAATTTTACCCTATGGCATTCCAAGGAATTTCCATACAACTTTAATCATTCCACACCTCATACAATCCTATTATATCAACATACAATCATACAACAACTCATCAATCCAATCCTAACACATTTTTAAAACTCAAAGTCATGACAACCTCAAAATTTTCTAAGTTAAAAATTTACATTTTTCATCAATAATTTTTATTGCATTTATGGCTACTACACATCATTCTAAGACACATTCATGTACAAACATTTTCCAATTGAGCTCTCTAAACACATCAATCCAACAAGCCCTCTTTAGGGTTCATAAATTCAACCACAAAATTAAACCATTGGAACACAAGGAAACTCACCCAAAAGCTTGGCACAAGGCTCCTCCTAAACATACTCCACCATTGGAGCATCAATCAACACCATTTTCACAAATCTAAAGGAAAGGGCCGCAGCTTTGGGGAGGGTTTTTCTCAAAATCTAGTGGCTTTCAAGGCTTGGGAGTACCACCAATGGATTTAGAAGGCCATTTCCATCAAATTTCAAGACAAGAATCAATGGATTTGGTGAAGAAATGGCTAAGTTATGGTGAAATGAAATCTTGGAGGGGAAGGGCTATGGTGGCTGCGGGTTTGAGCAAGAAGAGGGAGGAAAGTGATGCATGAATAGTGTCAAGCACATGTGGCTTAAGTCACTTAAGTGGGGTGGGTCCCACCGCCACCTCACGCGATTTAAAACTAATCCGAATTTTCCTCCGATTCCACTAAACGTCCGTAAATTCACAACCTATTTAGAAACTCAAATTTTTAACATTAACTATTCCCCTTTAATTAGGCTTGATCAGATGAATTAAGAGTCCTCCATTCGTTCGGAGAAAACACTGTTTTAAGCTATTATGCGCGCCATTGGCACGCTTCCCCAAACTGTCTTACTTTCATCGAATATTATAAGAAATCATATTTCCTAACTCATTAGACCATTTTTAACTCGTATTTGAAACCTAGAGCTCAAAACTCAATCGGCACGTTTTACGGTGCAATCGTACCGCGATATTTTTACCCGCGAAAAACACTATTCACTGATTTTTCTGAAACTTGCCTGTCCACTCAATTTTTCGTTCTGAACCCATTTCCAGGGTTATTTTTACCATCTGAGACCTTCTACTCAATTTTTATCTTCCTAGGGTTGCGTGTTGGCTAATTACCGTTTTGCCCTTTCTTTGTATTTTGGCCTAATCTTTTGGATTTTCACTAATCCATCACTTGATTGCTCACTTAATATTTTAATTACTTGATTTAAAATTGTGAGGTGTTATATTAAGGATCTTCCACCCCAAGCTCACTTACATGTGCAATATAAGTTCAAAAGCATATTAACAGTATAAGTTCCAAAATCCGTGCAATGGAGCAGATAATCATGTCATGTGTGTTAGAACTATTCTACTGATCAAAGAAGTGCAAGAATACGTCTATTACCCACACAGTACCAGCCCATGATGTAACCGCCCACAGGACCACCCCATGGCTTCCTATCTAGGCGAAACACCACATACATATCATCAAACAATTGCACTTAAAAACTCAATAGCATTTCGATAAAACAGTACATGAAAACACATCATGCATATAAACCATCCCCCCATGGGACATGGTGGAACCAACAATGGCTAAACCAAGGACACGAAAGCTTACTTTGCAAGCTAGCTATCCAAGCCAAGAGTCAACACAAGCTCAAGGTCCACACACAGCACAATCACAATTTGTTAGGACCAATAACAACATCAATATTTATACTCTACAAGCATACGATATAAAGACAACGTTTTTCCTTTGCGTTCCATGTCATAAGGCTTCTCACAAAGCCACAAGCCCTTCATCCCTTGATTCTGACTTAGTTTAATTATTACAGAAGTCC